ATAGTCACATGTCCCCATGGTCCCCGGGGAGAAAGCAAACAATGCACCACACTCCCTGCGTGCCGGACTGGCCCACGAGGCTTGGAATCCTGCCCGCGCCCGGGGTGCCACCTTCGATAGAATTAACTCCGTGGTCACTGTGCATCATTCGGCACGTGCCCGCCCTGCCCCGCCAGCCCAACTCTGCCATGTCCCCAATAGCTCTACGTACACACCTAACCTCTGACCCCAGCCAGTGGGACTGGCCCCCAGTTTGCAGAAAGGGGTGGATTTGCTCCATAGGAAAGTCCAAAACGCTTAGGACCCAGGGCATCTGAAATGGGGGTCACTGATTGCTACGTGCTCTGTGGTTGAGGGAGGGGGTGTTGTCCAGTGGCTAGACGGGGCCCATAGGCCAGGACGCCTGGGTTCTAGTCCCTCCTCTGCCACAGGCTGCTGGATGGGCCCTGTTCTCTGTCTCTGCGAATGTGGCTGTTGCCTTGGTGGGCAGTGCCCTCTGCTGGTGAGAATTATTATTTTCGCCCTCAGAAGTGTAAAACTTCCTCTCTCCAAAGTATTCTGCCAGCTCCGCCTCAGAGCTGGGAGGGGGGTGAGCCTCCCAGAATGTTGCCAAGACGACTCCTGCCCCGGCAACCTCCCTAGCTACCAATCCACAGGCTCAGTAATGCTTCCCCCTGGGAAGGGGAAAAGCCACATCAGCGGGGTTGGAGGAACAATCAGGGGAAGTTAAAGGAATTCCCCACCCACTCCCAGGAGGAGCCTCCAGGGCAGGGGTCTGAGTCCTTGGGGCAGTGTGGTGTGGGGCACTTGCATGATGGCATCTGCCACTAGCATGTTGGGTGAACTTGGGCAAGTCATGGCCCTTATCCGTGCCTCAGTTTCCCCAGCTGTAAGATGGGGAGAATGATACTGACCTCCTTCGTAAGGTGCTTTAAGGCCAGCAGATGACACGTGCTGGAGAAGATCTAGGTAATATGATTATGTAGCTACTCAGAGACATTATTCTCCAAGACCTCCAGTCCACCCCCTTTAACCAGCAACGAATAGACAACCCCCCCACCCCAAAGAAAAATTAGTTGCAAACCCCAGTGTGATGCACTGAATGCCGTTTTCAGTGACTGAGGAGAGATCGTGTCAGACAGGAGCCCCTCACCGTGTGTACAAAGCAGAAGGCAGGTGAACAATGAGCCGGCAGAATTTGGTGCCAGGACAGGAATCAGAGTATCAGATACACAACCCTGGGGTGCTCACCCTTCAACAGAGCTGAGGCGTGTCAGCTGGAAGAACAGCACCTGGCCCCAGCCCAAGCTAACAGCTTGTCAGTGAAGTCCTTAATTAACTGTTATCATTTAACTAAGTGCTCTGGAAACCTCTCCTCCCCCTCCCAGCTTCCGGAGATTTAAGTGGGTACCTGGGGCTCTGACAATGTTCATGGCTGCTTGGATGTTGCCAGTAAGTCCGTCGCGATCCTGATGTCGGTCCGACTCTGGTCGTCACCTGACTGGATTTGCAAACGGGCCCGTTCTGCAGAGCAATCCGTCACCACGGTTACTTTGGGAAGGAAAATAATTTGTTATGCGATAAAAAGGCCCATTCTCAAGGGGCAGGTCTGAGGCAAATTCTCCCTTCAGTTGTACCCACGTAACCTGGGACTCCCAGCTCCCCTGCTGTAAACACGAGGCTGGATGGCCCACTCTCTCATGGAGTGTGACTGCTTTGCACACTAGGGACTCCACCGTTCGGCCACTTGTTACGCTATGTGCTGTACACCAAGCAGAGATTTCACCCCCGAAAAAGGGGGACGTGCCACCAACTGCCTAGAGTCCACTAGGGATGGGGCCGGATGCTGTGGGGAGGCTGCCATTAAGTCAGAGCAGCCCAAAATCTATCTCCCCTTCTCAGGGCCCATAGCATCGCTAAGCCTGCCTCCTCGCGTGTCCTCAAGCAGCTCATGTCGGCATGTGAGGCTGTGCCGGGAGTTACTGTGTGTCCGGCGTTTTGTTCTTCTCTGGCACTCAACGCTTTCTCCTCAGAGACCACAACCAGCTTCCCTCCGCTTGGCTGCGTAGTGTCTCCGGCTTTCCTGCAGAACAGTAACGGGGGCCTTTCACGAGGGACGAGGCCACACTACCGGAACGCAGTGGCGAGAGCAATGCTGCTCTCAAGTAGCCCAACCGCGGGCTTCACCAGCGAGACGCTTTTCTGCCCCGCTGCACGTTGGCTGAAAAAGCCGCCAGGCCGAGGCCAAATGGCTGCAGAGGTGAAAGGTCAATTTGTGCAGGCAAAGGACTCTCCAGACCAGAGGCCTGAGTCTGACCTCCTCGATACTGGTAAAAACGAAGAGTTATTCCAGTGAGTCAGTGGAGTTTCACCTGCGCACTCGCAACACAAAGAGGCCATTTGAAGGCTGCCCATGCAGGCAAGGTGGTTTCCTGACCATGTTAGAGTAGCTGCGAGACTGCGCAGGGCCCAGCGGCGAGGTAGGGGGCCAGAGCTTTGCAGCCAAACGTACCAGGTTGACAGCCTAAGGCCTGATTGGTTCCAGGCAATACCATGCTACATCCTATTCCACTGGGCGCCATCTGCCTCCCGCTGTCCAAGACTCAGGGCTGTGCGTGGTTAGGGGCACACACATTGAATGCAAAGTGAGCTGGGGCAGCACAAGGAGGCCCAGAACAAAGGTTCACTAAGGGCTAGATTCTGCCCTGGGTGCCCTCGGGCACTACGGAGGGGAGTGAGGGGCAATTCTGGCTGACGCAGGCTGGGCACGGACCCCAGGACGCCTGCCACACCACCCCTAAAGAGGGCGCAGCATGCTCCTCCCAAGCCTTCCCTCTTCCTCATGGCACAGTGGATGTAGAGAGGCCCTGAAAGGGAGAAGACCAAACTCCCCCTTTCACCGCACAGATCCTTGCAACATGGATGCAGGTGCTGGCTGGAATATGGCCCTAGGGACAGATGAAGGAGGAGTCTGGGGTACCAAGCAAAGCCTCTGGTATCGGGGGGAGGGATAGCTTGAGCATTGGCCTGCTAAACCCAGGGTTGTGAGTTCAATCCTTGAGGGGGCCATTTAGGGATTTGGGTCAAAAGTCTGTCTGAGGCTTGGTCCTGCTTTGAGCAGGGGGTGGGACTAGATGACCTCCTGAGGTCCCTTCCAACCCTGATATATTCTAATCTATGATTAGCACCATTACATCCAGGCGTGGCTTCTGAGAGCAAAACCCCAGAGCCAGGAGTGACCCTCCAGACAGGGGCGGCTCTAGGCAACAGCAAAGCAAGTAGGTGCTTGGGGCAGCCCATTTGCAGGGCCCGCAGCCGGCAGGGATCCAGCCTGGGAGCTGAGAATCAACAGGGGCCCTGGGAGCTGTAGTTCCTTGGTTAGCTCCCTGCCTATAGAGCCAGCCCTGGAGCAGGGAAAGAACTACATTTCCCAGCATTCCCTTGGCTGCTAGCAACAGGAAAGGGAGGGGGAGGGAGTATGGTGGCTGAAACCTCATGCTGCAGCTTGCTGTGAATGGAGAGCTCACTGCTAGAGCGGGGTGTCACTGTGAATGGGGAACAAGTATGCCCAAGGAGTAGAAGGCTTTGGCCCAGATATCCCCTTCAGAAGACATCCCCAGACTGGATTAGGGATATTGGTGTGACCTCACCTTGCAGCCCCCAAAGAAAGAATTGGGGGGACTAAATGGACAGTGCCCCTCTCTATCTGAAGCCTAGCAAGGGAGGGACGTGGATCCCACTAGAATTTAAAATGAAAAGTAAGGGAGGGGAGACTCTACTAGACTGGGCAGCTTTAGATACAGTACCAGGCACGTAGGAGGATTTCCACTTCTGAGCCATGGAAGCAGAAATTGACTTTTCCTTTCCAGATA